GTATGTGTATATATATGTATGTGTGTATATATATATATATATATATATATGCTATGCAGGGGAAGTTTCTGCAACAAAGGGCCTAGAAAGAAGCATTTTTAGTTTTATATATATATATATGTGTATAGCTAGGGAGGTGTGTCGCTGTGTGTGCTTTGCTTTGCTTTGCATCCTGGCAACTAACTGTATTAAAACCATGCCTTTTTAAAAAGTGCCCAGAATTGCCCCAAATGCTTTGTGCTCCTGCCTAGAGAGAGGCTTCCCTGCAGTGCCCCCTGCTGGTGAGTGGCAGCCCCTTCTTCCCACACTGTCACTGATTGACTGAACCCAGCGCCTGCCTGACATAAAGCCAAGGGTGATACTGAGGACTGCCACTTCCTTTTAAATCACATCCTTAAAATCACAGGCGTAGATATCCATTTAAAAGCCCCCCTTTCACCCATTCCTCTGTATTTTTTTAGATGTGCCATGCTTCGCCCGCACCCAGCTCCATTGAGGAAATAACGGACGCTCCAGAAAACAGAAAAAGGAAGAGAGGGAAAAGAAGAGAGGAAACATTTGTTTTTTAAATTCTCATATGTATATCTTCTCCATCTCAGACCAAACGTTGCCTTTTCCTTGATGTTTTATAGGAAAAGTGGGAGCATATGGATGGAAAACTGGAGGGGCATCTATCTATCTATCTATCTATCTATCTATCTATCTATCTATCTATCTATCTATCCATCCATCTATCTATCTAATAAGGGTTAGTGGTTGGACTACGACTCTGGAGAGCAGGATTCAATTCCCAGCATGACTATGAAAACCATTGGGTGACCTTGGGAAAGACACACTCTCTCAGCCTCAGGGGAAGGCCATGGCAAACCTCCTCTTAACAAATACCTTATTTTCCTGCGTATAAGACTACTTTTTAACCTGCAAAATATGTTGTTAAAGTGGGGGGGGGTCGTCTTATACGCCGGGTATAAGGATAAGGAGGATGGAGGTGCTAAAACTCTATATTTTGGCTGGAAAAATGGGGGGGTCGTCTTATACGTGGGTCGTCTTATACGCCGGAAAATACGGTATTTAGATCTAAAGTTAATTGGTGCCATAACTCATTCTTTTCATCTAAATTTATGTAATTTATTTGTACTTTTAATGTAAATTTTAATCGTTATGTTGTTTTAAGTTAGCAGTGTGCGATGTTGGGTCTATTGACCATAAATAAAGATTGGTTCGATGATGAAATCTTGCCCAGAAAACCCCAGGATAGGTTTGCCTTAGGGTTGCCATACGTCAGAACAGTGAAGGCACACAACAACAACAACAACAAAAGTTAAAACATAGCCAGCATGGTTTCATGGTTTGAATGCTGGAGGAGGACTCTGGAGACCAGGGTTCGAATCCCGTCTCAGCCATGGAAACTCACTGGGTTTTGTCTGCTTTCAGAAGAACCAGGGAGCGAAGCTTGGAGTCTTCCTTCTCGTTTCAGAGAAGCAGCAATCCTTTCAGGAATGGCTAAGCTATCCGTGAATGCCTGGTTTCTGAAGGCAGTTAATTATTTCTCTTCAATTGCAATATTTTTAAATGGAAGGTGGGAGAAGAAATGGACCGTTATGCACTTTCTGCCTTCCCTTTGGTCCTTCTCCTGACTTTGAACAGAGGGCTTTGACCTTCAGCTATGTTACTTTTAATTTACACCTCTCTCTCTCTCTTTTTTAAAATAAATTAACAAAGGCTGTGCAAGGAAAAGTGTTTCATGTTGCCAGCCTAACTTCTTTTAATTAAAAAGTGGAAGCTATAGTCTGGCTCAGGAACAGGTGAGGTTCTGATGTCAGAAACGGCAGAGAAATAGGCTGGAAATTAAAATTGTAGGCAAAAAGAGGAGGCTGTTGATGGTATTTCACTTGTAGAGGCAGATCGGCTTCATTTGGTAAGAAAGAAATGGGGTTGCAGAATTAATCCTGGAGGATGGCAATGGCAAAACCCCTCTGAAGAAATTTGCCAAGAAAACCTTATGATGGATTTGCCTTAGGGTTGCCGCAAGTCAAAAATGACACACAACAACAACAAGAAAACTGCAAATCAACACCACCAGCAACAACAACAATTGCAGTGTGGTGCATTGGTCTGCGTGTTCGACTATGACTCCGGAGACCAGGGTTCGAATCCCTGCTCAGCCAGGGAAACCCACTGGGTGACCGTGGACAAGTCATACTCTCTCAGCCTCAGGGGAAGGCAAAGGCCCTCTGAACAAATCTTGCCAATAAAGCCCCATGATAGGTTTGCCTTAGGTTGCCATAACTTAGAAAGGAGTTGAAGGCACACAACAACAACAACAACAACAACAACAACAACAAACTTCTTCCCAGATTTACATCATGGTCCCAAAGGAAGCTGTTTCAGGAAGAAGGAGGCAAAGGTGTTTCTTAAAGAGGGACATGGCATATCCCAATGGACAATGCAAATTGGGGAGCCAGTCACCCTGTTAACATGGACGGAGAGAGAAACCTGGCTGAGATCCTACATGGAGGAGATAAAAGGTAATTTTATGCTCGTGAGCCAAGATCCTACCAGGTTTCGGCACAATATAAATATCCGCTGGTGGAATTGCATTATGCAACCTTTTTTGTGCTGAATCTCAACACAATGCAATGCAACTGGATCGATGGTCCATGTGCAAGACTGACAACCCACAGTGAAAATGTCCATGTGCAAAAGGAGTGCATAGAAGCCATGCACATTCACATGTTACATGTGGAACTCCAGTTACACCATCTATCTATCTATCTATCTATCTATCTATCTATCTATCTATCTATCTATCTATCTATCTATCTCTTTCTACTGCCTTCTACCTTTCCTAGCATCATTGTCTTTTCCAATGAATCCTGCCTTCTCATGATTGTGTCCAAAGTACGACAGCCTCAGTTGTGTCATCTTGGCTTCTGACTTCATCAGTTCAAGGAAACATTTGTTTGTCTTTTTGGCCATCCATGGTATCCTTAGCACTCTTCTCCAGCACCATATTTCGAATCAATTGATTTTCTTCTTATCCGCCTTCTTCAGTGTCCAGTTCTCACATCCGTACATGGTGATGGGGAATGCAATGGCATGAACGATCTTCACTTTGGTGCTCAGTTATATATCTTTGCACTCTCTTCACTCTCCAACTTTCACAACCATGCGTAGAAATGAGGAATACAAAGGCTTGGACCATGCTAACTTTAGCATTCAGTGATATATCTTTGCACCGTAGGATCTTGTCGTGGCTGCCCTTCCCATTCCTAGTCTTCTCCTGATTTCTTGACTGCAGTCTCTGCGCTGATCAAGGATTGAACCAAGGTATGGGAAATCTTTAACTATTTCCATTTCTTCATTATGTAGGACACATTTATATTAAATCCTCCATGGTTATTAATTTTGTTTCTTGTATGTTCAGCAGTAAGATGGCCTTTGCACTTTCTAATTTAATTGGGCTCTAATTTGGAAGACAAATTAAGAAACCCACTCAGCCATGGAAACCCACTGGGTGACCTTGGGCCAAGTCACACTCTCTCAGCCTCATGGGACGGCAACGGCAAACCTCCTCTGAACAAAACTTGCCAAGAAAACCCCATGATAGGTTCACCTTAGGGTCGCCATAAGTTGGAAACGACATGAAGGCACACAACAACAACAACAACAAAATCTGGAAGACAATGTTCAGTTCTTTGGAGAACTCCTGTAAAGTTAAGTATACCCCCAAGGTTGGAGATCCACTATCGGTACAACACAGAAACCCGCTGCCATTATGGTAGAATTTTGGAGACTATTTGGTGCAACTTTCTGCCTGATAAAAGGTGGTTTCTTGCTGCTTGTAGGAGCTTGCTTGCAAAGTGCTTGGTTGAACAACTCCTTGTTTTGCTTCCTCTCTGTTTGCTCCTCAGTGCAAGATCCCCAGATGCTCTCTTCTTCTCTGTCAGTCTCAGTATTGTAACTGGCTCTTCTTGGAAGCTGAAGCTTGTACATTTTGGGTGTGTGCGACTGTGACGGCGTGTGCAGGATCCTCCTCTTCCATTCATCCCTATCTATCCCTCTTCCCCACCCGCCATCCCATTCCTTTTCTTTCCCACTTACGTGCTGTATCTGCTGCAAAAGCGAGCCTGGTTATGAAGCCAGTACAGTCAGCTTTGTGTTACCTGCCAAATAATATGTGTTATTACGAGTTACTCACAGCTCCCCGAGGATATGTCTGCGACAGACTCCAAGCCTGGGTTTCCCCCAACCCAGCCCAGATCTTTCATTGCTTTCCTTTGGGGAGCTTTGAACAAACATTCTCAAAAGGAGGCCGAGGACTGCAAATGGCTGCTTTCCGTTCCGGCTCCAAAAGGCACACACTCTCATACAAAAAGGGCCTTTCTCCAGCCAGAAGAACTCCTCCGTTGTGCCTTGTGCATCTGTGTGTCACCTCTTGACTTATGGCAACCCCATGAATTTCACAGGGCTTTCTTAGGCCAGGAGTCCTTAGAGGTGGTTTTGCAATTTCCTTCCTCGAAAATAGAGCCTCACGCACCTGGGATTTGTTGCTGGTCTTCCATCCAAGTGCTAACCAGGGCTGGCCTTGCTTTGCCTCCAAGATCAAATGGGATCTTGTGCCTTTTGGGGTATTTAGACCCTGTGTTATGTTGTGTGTCTCTGTGCCTTCAAGTTGCCTATCAACTTATGGTGACCTCATACATTTCATAGGGTTTCTTTAGGCAAGAAATGCTCAGAGGTGGTTTTGCAATTTTCTTCCTTTGAAATAGAGCCTCATGCACCTGGGATTTGTTGCTGGTCTTCCATCCAAGTGCTAACCAAGTGCTCCATGTATTTCATAGGGTGTTCTTAGGCAACGGCTGACCCTGATTAGTATCCAAAATCAAATGGGATCTGGTGCCATGTGTGTGTGTGTGTGTGTGTATCTATGCCTTCAAGTCACCTGTCAACATATGGCAACCCCATGTATTTCACAGGGTTGTCTTAGGCAAGGGATACTCAAGAGGTGGTTTTGCAAATTCCTTCCTCCAAAATATAGCTTACAGCACCTGGGATTTGTTGGTGGTCTCCCATCCAAGTCCTAACCAGGGCTGACCTTGCTTAGGTTCCAAGACCAGATGGGATCTGGTGCCTTTGGGATAGTTAGGCCTATGTACATCTTTATGTGACTTCAAGTCGCCTGGAGACTTATGGCGACTCCATGAATTTCAGAGGGTTTTCTTAGGCAAGGTATTCTCAGAGGTGGCTTTGCCAGTTTCTTTCTCTGAAATAGAACCCACTATTGCTGGTCTCCCAACCAGGTTTAAACCAGGGCTGACCTTGCTTAGCTTCCAAAATCAGATGAGATCTGGTCCCTTGTGTGTGTTCATGAATATGTGCCTTGGAGACCCCATGAATTTCCTTGGGTTGTCTTAGGCAAGGAATCCTCAGAGGTGGCTTTGCCAGTTCCTTCCTCTGAAATAGTGCCTCCAGGAATAGAAATATTCCCCCTTTTTCACAATGGGGAGGCTGGGGAGGACATTGGGGTGACCAGGGTACCATCAGTGGCTGATGACAGCTCCGTTGTCATTTGTGGTTGTGGAGAAATTAATGTCTTCTTTTTTAAAACATGCATACATACACATATATGAAAGCTAGTACACCTTGTCCCAGTAAGTCCCCAAATATTTTAAAACTTTTTCTTCTCCATGCTGCTCAAGAAACCGTGCCACTTCCATTGCCTTGTGGAAGCCTTTTCAGCACAGGGCAGGAAAATATTGCAAGTGCATCCTGCAGAAATACAAGAAAATAGAGATGGAGAGATTTTTGGGTTGCAAACTCTCTGCACATGCAAATTCCATGCTAGAGAGAGAGAGCGACAGTGAATCCACTCTGGAACCTGCTCTGACCTTTAATGGACCTGTCCAAGGTGCTAGAGTAGACTCTCATTCCCCAAATTACAACACCTTGAATAACTTTTAAAGCTTGGACCCAAACTCAAAGCTGACCCATTGCCCCATTAGCACTTGGCAAGCAAACAGAAGCAATGTTGCATTATTCCTTTGTGGCCATGTGTGTGTTTTAGGATGGAGGGACCCTGAAACAACCTTTGCAGCATTTGTTCTTATGTTATGTATTGGAAGGAGGCGGTAATTGTTACAGATGCCATATTTGGGGAATGAGAATCTAGCACCTTGGACATTTGGGGGGAGGTTTTGGAGAGGCTCCTAAGGAACCCATCCACCATGATTGTATTATTTCTTTGGACTTGGAACACCAAGCAGGGTGGACATTTACAGGGCGCATGGGCTATGTAACACAGGGTCACACATAGCCCATGCTCCCTGTAAATTTCCAAGTCCAAAGAAACAGAACAATCCATGATGGATGGGTTCCTGTCATTTTTGCCTTGCATGTGCGCAAACTGGACCTTTTCATCAGCCATCTTCCCTTCAAGGTTGCAAGAGCCAGGTTGTGCCATTTTGCACGTCTGCTCATGGGGCATTGGTGTGCAATTGCATTGTGCATAGACCCACTTGGATGTGTTGTCTTTGGACGCACACTACACAAGCCGATGCCTGGGAGCATGTGATGATGCATTGAGTCGCACAACAGAGCAATTCGCTCCCAAGACGTTGTTGCACAAATATTACATAACTCTGCGAGGGTAAAGATATGCTCCATCTCCACAATCTGAATTGTCTTGGCCAGTACATTTCTTTTTCGAGCAAGCCATGCAACCCAGTGGGAAACTGCAAAGGCAGTTATCAAAGATCTGGAACTGAGCAAGATTTGACAATAGGAATAAGAGGAATGTTTTCTCTTTAAATCCTCGTTTAGATTTTATTTGCAGCCGAATATTTAACAGGGTCTTGGGTGAGACCTGGAGGCTTAAAATGGCACTTCTATGAACGCAGGCACCCCATCTTTGACACCCTTAATTCTGTTCTTTTCTCTCTTTTTTCAAACTTGCTGCAACAGATGAGGGATGCTTTAGCCATCTGTTAACCTTTTCTCTCCTTCTCTCTCTTTCTCTTTCCCTCTTTCTGTCTCTCCGACTCGTTCTCTCTCTCTCTCTCTCATTCCCCTTAATGCAAAAGATGCCCCAGGCGAGAAGACCCTTCAGCGAGACTGAAACAAAAAAGGCGAAGGAGGTAAGCTGAGCTGGAGATCATTACACTTGACA